CCCCAAAACCCCAAAACCCCGTGATTCGTTTTTAATTCGAAATTAGGAAATATAAAAAGTTACTAAATATATTTGTACCACTTCATTGTTTCGATTAAAATCTGTTAACAGATTAATTCATTTATTAAATATAATTAATCAGGAGAATATACATTAATAATAAAAATAAAAATAAACATTTAATCAATAAAACTTCAAAAAAAAACAGTATTCTATGATTCTAGACAACAGATTCTAAGTTGGAAGGAAAATCGGACGAGGCATTTCAGGAAAAATATACGAAGCATTTGACTTGAAAAATTAAGAAAAATGTGCTGTTAAAATTGTATTATATATGCTTTTTAACATTAGATAGTTTATTGATGAAAATGATTTTGAAATTGAAAACATTATCTACTTGAAACTCCAAAGAGAAAAGCATTCAAAATAAGGTGAACTCTTTATCAGCTCAGGGTTATCAAATGACTAATAATACTATATTGTTTTGAAATTATTGGGACAGACACTAACAAATAAAATCATGGTTTCTGACTATTAAATAAGTTATCAATAAATTCTTTAATTAGGATTAGAACTAGTGAGTTTCTTTTATTCGTTTTCATCGTTTTATTATAGATAGAGTAAGTATAAAGCTTACATGAAGTAGGTTTTTGTCACAGAGATATCAAGCCACACAATATTCTATTTAAAAATACTTAAATTGAGGATATCCAAGACTATTCTTTAATCAGGCTTATTGATTATGGCATATCTAAGAGTTATTTAACTAATGATGGATGGCATATTTTAAATGAGAAGCAATCAAAATTCTCTGGGAACTTATTATTTAGTAGCGTATTTCAAATGCGATTTTAAGGTACTTAAATTTATTACCATAAAACCTGATTTTTACTTAAATAAAAATAGGACCCTCACGTAGAGATGATCTTATTTCAATATTTTACTTGATGATAATGCTGAAAGATAAATATTTGCCTTGGTAAAGTTATGTGCCCCCACCAATAACTAAAGAGAAATTCAATCGCATTGTAACTCTCAAAGAAGACTTTTATCAGAAAGCATGCAAAAATAGCCACGATTGTAATTATATTCTGTTTTATAATTTTGAAGGTATTTTGTCTAGACTGTTAATTTATTGCCACTAAATGTAGTATAGCGAAGCACCTAATTACCAATTTATCACCTATTAATTGCAGAGGCAGTAAATAGAAAATTAGACTTTAAGAAAAAGTATTGGATTAGGGCGAACAGTGGCAACTTTATGCATGTGCAATCCGATAAGCCCAATGAAAACCTAAAGTAATATTCTTTGCCAATAAATAGTTTAGATAAAGAGATTTTGCTTGTTGAATCACATATATAACAATAGAAATTTAAAAATAAGTCAACTAATTCTCCAAAGAATAACCCTTATCAAAATTCAGTTACTCCATTTACAAACACAAACATTATGAAAAGTAATAATAAGCAATTCTGTTAGAATTAAAATATATCTCATGAGAAGTATCAATAATCATTGAAGGAGAGTGATTTAGAAAAAATATGTGCGTAAAAACAGAATATCATAACTTAGTAATTTGATTAAAAAGTTAAGACACCTCTTCTAGAAAAATACAGCAAATGTAGCTAGTTAATTTTAGACTATAATGAGTAAAAATATCATAACTTTGATTTGGCGAACAATCATATCAATAACAAAAGAATTAAAGTGAACCTTGGATTAAGAAAATCATCCTCATTAAAAATATATCGCTTTTGTGATTTAAAATAGTAGTTGCAAGTAAAAAATTCAGTTGAAATTTTTGACTCACTTGATATCGCTGAGGAGCACATAGATGATGATCAAACTTAAACTAATTTTAACATGGTACTTGTACCTCATCCAAACAATATTAAGAAAATAAACATTAGCTGAATATTTTACATGAGCTAAAATGTCAAGACATGACTGATTATAGTAATAGTTAAACTTTGATAGTAATGAGATCATTTTCATTATTAACTAAAATAAGAGATTAAAACTATTATGTGGGTAAATGATTAAATTATTGGTATAAACTTTTTATTTTCAATATTTATTCCCATTTTGAATATAAAAAAGATTAGTTTTACGGGGTTTTGGGGTTTTGGGGG